TTATGGCCAGAGGACGTCTGATTTAGAACAATCTTCGAAAATGGAAGCGCAGTTAAAAAAAAGTTGCCGCCACAATTCTAACATTTATACCGTGTTGTCTAGCCTTTAATTCAAGGAACCTTTCTCGAGGGGAGAAAAATGGGATAAAATTGTATAAGAAAATACAGTTAATTGAATTGAAATTAAATGTAGGCCTAACGCATTGTGTAAAAGATGATGAAATATTTTCACGAATTGACAACATTACGTACGATTTGAAATACCTAGCCACATATACAACGCACCATTGGAAAGTTTCTCTTGTCTTCTTTAATCTCCTTTAGTAACAGAAGTGAATCAACTGTTACGCATTGAACTTTATAAGATGACAAAACACTTTTTGCTGACTGAGAATGTTACATATGATTTGAAATAGCGAGCCACATGTACATCAAACCATTGGAAAGCTTGTTTAGTGTTCTTTAATCTCATTCATAACAAAATCGAATCAAATGTTCAGTTAGTGTTAAGTGTTACGCACAGAATTTTAATAATAAATCACGAAAAAATCTTCGCAAGCTCACTGGGGGTATCGTGATGCAACGACACCGTTGCATCACGTGATTTTTCGAATAACGCGCCATCACACTGGTGATCCGCTCGATTACGCTGGTTACCGAAACGGTTCGTTTTGGTAACAAAATGTCGGAACGTCGAAGGTACGATTTTTCTTTTTTCCTTATTTCACGCGTTGTAGGCAGAATCCCAACGACGTTTTTTCTCACAAACGTATATCAGCATCATATGCTTTAGAAAATGTACATGTTTGCGAAAAATAGCTCCGAAGACAACAGAATCGTCGATTTAATTCCTCACTTAAGTTACATAAACGGTTTGGGTTAAAAGTGTAGATCTTAACTGTTTTTCGAAAAACCGTTTATGTAACTTAAGTGAGGAATTAAATCGACGATTCTGTTGTCTTCTGAACTATTTGTTCGCAAATATGTACATTTTCTTAAAAATATGATACTGGTGCATGTTTGTGTTAAAAATGTCGTGGGAATGGCTGCCTACACCGTGTGAAATAAGGAAAAAAGAAAAATCGTACCTTCGATGTTCCGACATTTTGTTACCAAAACGAACCGTTTCGGTAACCAGCGTAATCGAGTGGATCACCAGTGCATCAGAGACCAAGGCGTGATTTCATCGTGTGCTCATTGCGATTACATGTTTCTTACGTAAACAGGATACAGCACCGGGAAGACGACCTTGATTCACAGACGAGTTGTTTTATTCATATTTCACAACATTAGTTTTGTACTTTAATGTTACAGAAATATTTATAAATAAATAATAAATAAACTAGAAAACAAATGAAGCGGTACATGACTGGCATTACAAAAGCGAATGTTAAATTATAAATCGATATGCAGCGTTACATTAACATGTGTAAAGCAGTTTTATCTTATATCAAAAACTGTTATAAATAATTGTTAAACTAGGAAAGTTTATCTTGAACAGTTGAGTATTTTAAAAAACTATTTGAACAGTCATTTCCAGATTATTCATGATTCCCACGATTCAATATCCACCCCTGGTATACGCAGCTGACGAAATGGACCGGTACGTGTCAAAAGCTGGACCGGTTCGGGTTAACGGTTTTATTTGAATTTAAAACTGCCATAACTTGCTCAATATTGACTTTTTTAGTTTCTAAGTTGAAATATATGATGTCTCTGAATGATTTTAGGTTCCCTAAATTTTTACAGATTTTTAAACGGAACAAATTCTCGAAAGAAGACCAAAAATAGCATTTAGAGATTTTTGTTCCGTTTAAAAATCTGTAAAAATTTGGGGTACTTAAAATCATTCGGATGGATCATATATTCCAAATTAGACACGAAGAAGTCAATAAGGTAATGGAAAATTAACTGAGTTGAAGCAAAAACTATAATGAGGGTTTTAAAAATATTAATTAGATGAAAATAAATACGATTTCGGGTGTAAAAACAGCATTCTCTTAGGAATGGTTTTAACTTTCTAATTATGATAAATGTTTTTCGAGCACTGCTCGGATTTTTTCTGACTGGATCGGCCCACATAATCGACTCGAGAGAAAAATGTTTTTTTTCACTTTTCGTTTGGTTATTATTTTCCCTGTCGTCTGAGAGTATGGATTATTTTTATGAGAATATGTATTTGTTATCTACACATTTTAGAACAGATGAATATTCGGCAAAAAACCATTCAGCGTATTTATTCAAAAAAGATCAGAACTATACGGTGACGCATCAGCTGTACGGTTACGCTTCCTTAGATTTTATGAAGTGCTCTAAGCTTACTGTTCGAACAAGAGATAAAGAAGCGTCAGATCTACATTTAAGATGGCGGACAGGAAGTATTAATTTCGATATTTTTAGTTTTCATGGAATTAACTATTTGAAAGTTGACGTAATGCTTTGGTATCATTTGAACTAAACCAGACTTTTCTCATATGACTAACAAAGATAGCCTACACAGCCATCTTTACCCCATGCAAGATATTGCATCTTTCATCCTAAAAAGTCACACGTGCAAGATGAGATTTACTTGTGACATCCCTTGTTTTAAAACATCAATAACATAGCAACAAGAGAGTTTTTGGTTTCATGATCTTTACCGTATCATACATTTCCAGTAACCTTCCATTAAGCGGTGGAAGATATCGTTGAACTGTAGCGCCCATGCGCTATATATGAACAAATGATCATACTCCAGAATTTCCATTTCATACAATCTTAGTCTCATTTAGTTCATCAAAGCATAGCGTCACCGTACAGCTGGTGCGTCACCGTACAAATTTGATCTTTTTTAAATATACATAATGCATGGTTGTTCGCTGAATCTTCGCCCATTCTAAAATGTGTAGTCAACAAACACATATTCTCATAAAAATAATCCATACTCTCAGACGGCAGGGAAAATAATAACCAAACGAAATGTGAAAAAACAACCTTTTTTCACTTGGGTCGATTATGTGGGCCGATTCACTCAGAAAAAATCCGAACAGTGCTCGTAAAACGTTTATCATAATCAGTAAGTTAAAACCATTTCTAAGAGAATGCTGTTTTTATTTCACATGAAATCGTATTAGTTTTCATCAAATTAATTTTTTTAAACCCTTGTCATAGTTTTTGCTTCAAAGCAGTTAATTTGCGTTACCGTACAGAAAACTGTACTCCGCTATTTTTTGACGCTGTACGGTGACGCCTGCTTACGCGATGGTAAGGCGTGGTATACCAAGGGTGATATCACTGATAATTAATCTAAACAAATACTAATTAACTGTCTGAACCAAGAAGGTGAGCTGTTGATCATGAAGTCTAGGTTTTAGATTTTTTAGATACTATATTTTTTGCTTTGAAGTGCTCTTTTCTTTATTGTCTTGAAATGTGCATTTAAAGTGAGCGATTTTTAAAAAGCGGGCCCGATTTTGGGATAAAAATCAAATTCTGAATCTGATTCAAACTGAATAAATGCATTTCCACACATTCATTAAGTCTGATTTTACATTAGATGATACATTACCGGAAATCAATGGTTGAACCATCCCTCCCTGCACGATGACTCTTGATTGAAAACTGCTGCCACCTTATCTAAAACCCTCTTTAAATCCTTACCATTGAAAAAGTTTTTATTAAAACATAATTTATTTCATGAAAATCTACCCATATCATGGATGCTACAGTACATGTGTTACTTTGATGTTTTCTCAGAATAATTTCCATCGATAACTTGATAGAGGAAAATATCATTCCTAATTTCAAATTAGAAACCAAAAGGCAAATATAATAAGATTGTTACACCCCACCCCGCCCCTACACACAGTGACTTCATAAACACAACTTTGTTGGTCATCATGCCACTTCGGATGTCCTTCAAGCAGATGTTATTTTGAATCTCAATTGTACCTGAGACTTATAGAATATCTATTTATTTTGCATGTTGCATGCTTAGGATCGAAATAATCAGTACCAACTGGACAAAAGATTAAATGCTGAAAAGAAGCTCCATGGAGAAATTGACCAATAGCAAGTGGATACGCTGGCAAATTCCAATTGTCGTTATTGAGCTTGGAAAGAAGAAATGTAGACTGATGATTTGGGCTCGAGGTTCTCACCAGGAATTCTTTAGACCCCTGATTTTTAGCGGTATTGTGACGACTTTTTGCGGTATCTTGATATCGATTATTTCAACCTTCGTTTTTTCGGCGTGAACTTTGACAATGATTTGAAAAATGCGTATTTCCTTGACATACATATTCCGTCACACAAAAAGACAGGCGTGACTTCAATTCCTTCGGCAAATGTGTGACAAATACGCAAATTGCGGGACAGTTGGACGGCCTGTGATTACTACAAACATTGAACAAGAAACAAAGTCAATTGTAATTTATACATGTAGAACAGTACGCCCTATCAATTATATGATGATTTCGTTAGTGATCAAGGGGAGATTTCTTTCAGATACTTCTCTATAGATTGTCTCTTCTTGCAGATCTTGTCGTTGATGTCTCAATAGAGTCCATCTCATGTTCACATACAAAAATATATGATTCATAATTGATGTTCCAGTAATTATTTAACTTTTATATGAATGTAAAATAAAATCAGTCAAAGTGAACACAGTTAGGATTAGCTGGAAGTATTCATATTGAGAGGTGTTCATACTTCATATTGAGAGGTGTTCATACTTCATATTGAGAGGTGTTCATACTTCATATTGAGAGGTGTTCATACTTCATATTGAGAGGTGATCATACTTCATATTGAGAGGTGATCATTTGAGAGGTGTTGGCATTGATAGGTGTTCACTCGGACAGGTGTTCGAATAAATATTATAGTTTGATTAAGATGTGTTCACTTTGAGATGTGTACACATCAAAATGTTCCATAATAAGAGAAACAATATATCAAAGTGTTCATTTAAAATAGTTGTTCACATACTAATGTTTTACTGTAAATTATGTTTATTAACTTCAGAGGAATAGACTTTGGACTGGATGTAATCATCTCCCACATAGATTACGATTCCCCTGCATGGAGGGCTGGTATAAAGAAAAGAGACATTATTCTTGAGGTAAATCTTTTTTATCTATTATATTTATTTTGTTTTAATTAATTATTGGCTGAAATGTAGTGTTTTTTTATTGATCCAAGTGAAACAGTTTGTAATTGGAACACCTTATAAGGGAATGGGTTTTTAAACTCTTGCAGCATGTTAATGAACTTCTATTAGTGGAACACCTCACAAGGGAACAGGTTTTTAAACTCTTGCAGCCTACTGCACCATGTTAATGAACTTCTATCAGTGGAACACCTCACAAGTGGAACACTTTTTGTTTTTGTGGTCCAAGGGTGTTTTACTCATACAGGTTCTACTGTGCTTTTATCTCTATTGCATAAACCACAGAAATGAAAGTAAATAATACCAACATTTTTCTCAAATATATTATCTAAATGATTTTGATTTCCACGTTTAGATGAATGATAAAGATGTCTGCACTATGAAACACCTAGATGTTGTAACCCTTGCAACTTCAGAGCCACAGTTGAAATTACTTGTCAGATCAGGTGTAAAGAAAGGCAAACCTGGTAAGAACCTTTCATTTGTTTTACTAACCTTTGGAAATTATGTTTAATAGAAGCGAAATATCCTCTGGCATAAGCCACACCTAATTCTAGTTATCCCCCTGATGTACATTGAAGTCTATGTATGAAGTATATCATTAACTTCGCGGTGAATAAATATTGTAGAAAGAGGGAAAATACAGAGATTTAACCTCAAAATGTGTGATTTTTGGCATCCTAGCCTTGAATAATAGAATAATCTTTCATGTGGTTTAAATGTTGACCTTGCATGTTTGATAATCCCAGGTTAAGATTAAGCAGAACAAAGTGGACAATAGGATCAATGAGGAAGATAATAATACATTGGTATGAAATCCTCCTTCTTATTGAAAAGAACTGCTAAGTTTAATTTTCTAATTGATATATATTTCAGCTGTTATAAAACGTCCACTCTCAAAGGACATTGAGCCCAAGCCAGATGTAACAGAGGGAACACTGGAAGCTTTAGTTCCTGAGAGAAGCTCCCCACCATTGTCACCACCCAAGATGAGGAGACTACAATCTATAGGGTAAGATAAAGTTGAAATATGCTTATGTAAATGTTTGATCCATTTAATTTACTGTGTACATGTAATTTCATTTTATGCTTCAATCAATGTTAAATCTCTTATGATTTAGTACATCATGATATCTGCCTAACATACAGATTCATCAAGTCTTGTTTTATGTATACAGTAAGCAATGAATAAGTTCTTAAAAAAGAAATTAAAAATTCATCTCAGCTTACTCTATTATCACATTTTTAGGTCAGCTTCTGAATCCACTGAACATCCAAATGAGACCTCTACTCCTCAGCTTTCTAAACGAAGGAAGGCGCCAGCTCCACCAAATACATCTCCTTGGCAACCACCAATTGCCTCATCCCCACCTACAGAACCATCAGGATGCTCCCCACCCACCCAAAAGACAAAAGTGATGAAAGTTGGTGTAACCAAACAAGACCTGCTGAGGCACCCTCTCTTGAGTAAAAAAGAAAATAACTCAGAAAAGGACACTTCTGGAACATCAAGCATTGATAATGATACAGTATTAGAGTCAGTTGACCAGGACACTCCAAGGAAATTGTTATCAGGCACAATTCGCTTAAATCTAAACAATGACGTTAAAAGTAATCTAAGCTCGAGTAAAATCAGTTCTAGCAAACAACATGTCCGTAATTTGTTTGATCAAAAATTATTGATAGAAACGCCAAATATTAAAAATACCAGGTCAAAATCATTGCCAAATAATTTTGATACACCTGTATCTCCTTGTACAGATATGGGTGAGATATACATCGATAAGAAATGTGTGCCATTGAATATTGAAATCTCACCTTCTCATCATGCCAACAAACCTCCAGAGCCACTTATTGATGAACCTGAAAAACTTGATAGACCCAATAATGCCATTAAGTCAATTCCAAATGCTAAGATGGTACTAGATAGCAAAATAGCACCACTGCTATCCCCTTCTATCAAACCCACTGTAAATAAGACCAGGGCAATGAAACCATTTATCCAAAGTAATAAAAATTATGTCCGTAAAGCTCCATTAAAATCTAACACTAAGGCAGCTCTTCCATTAGACACAAAAATGGCAGGATTTGTCTCAAAAATGCCAAAATCTGCAGATAACACACCATCTTGCACAGAAAATGGTATTGAATTGATCTCAGCTAAAGGAATAGATAGTGTGGCATTGTCAATTTATAATGGCTCTAATGAGGATGAGGATTGGAAAATATAACATGTACAAGCTTTTTTGTACAGTATCTGTATTAAAATTGAGTGTGCCTTTTTTTGAGTGTACTGTAATAATATTGTGTATGGAATGATTTTTATTACTTCAGTATGATTTAAAATATATGTTACTGCATGGTATACTGAGTAATCAAATGTACAATTTTTTGTGTATGTTGTTGTTTTAGATTATTTATTTTGTAGTTAAAACACTGGTGATCCACTCGATTACTCTGGAAGAGTTTCGGTAACAAAATGTCGGAATGTCAAAGGTATGATTTCTCTTTTTTCCTTATTTCACACGTTGTAGCCAGAATTCCCCCGACATTTCTATCACAAACGTGTATCGGCATCATATGATTAAGAAAATGTACACATTTGCGAACAAATAGTTCAGAAGACAGCGGAATCGTCGATTCAGTTCCTCACTTAAATTACATAAACGGTATTTCGAAAAACAGTCAAGATCTGCACTTTTAACCCCTACCGTTTATGTAACTTAAGTGAGGAATTAAATCGACGATTTTGTTGTCTTCTGAGCTATTTTGTCGCAATAATGTACATTTTCTAAAACATATGATACTGATACACGTTTGTGTGAAAAAATGTCATGGGGATTCTGCCTACCGCTCGTGAAAAAATAAGGAAAAAAGAAAAATCATACCGTCGACGTTCCGACATTTTGTTACCAAAACGAACCGTTTCGGTAACCAGCGTAATCGAGCGGATCACCAGTGTAAAAGATATCTATTTATTTAATAGGAGGTTTACAAGGTTTGTGCATCTAGTATTGTAAATTTCATGTAAGATAGGTCATATGAGTTACATCTATATTTATACAGTTTATTATGATCTGAAGAAAGGTGCTACAGCTTGGAGAAATATATAAAAATAAATATACAAAAATCTTAATTGAATTTTCAGAATCTATTTATTTCACTTGGTAATTGGATGTGTATTATATATAATCAACATTAAATCACATTAATCATTTGTATAATACATTATTTATTTGACAGAGTAAGTCTGATAGGTGAATATTTAAGCTTAAATTCCAAAGTTTAAACTTTGGTAAATGTAGACAAGTGTAAAATTTAAATATTTTTAAAGAGATACCTGTATAGTGTACTAGAAAACATGTGAAGTTAAAACACATATTTAAGATGGATTCCTATATACACGGGGTACCATCGAATAATTTTGGCAACGTACCGGAGAACGACATTTTACTAAGAAATGGCAATAATTTAGCACAATATATTTTTTAACTAGAGTTCTATTTTGATTTTGACAAAAGTAAGTATTCCATGCAATAACTATTTCATTCATGAGTTTGTAGGAATTCTGTTGGAACCCAGTTCTGATCAAGTACGAAGTTATTGAAATCGGCGCAGACGGACTTTACTCCGAAAGATAGCTTTTCGATCATAACTTTTCACAACATTTAAGTATAGACTTTTGAAAAAAGTACAGAATAGTCCTTATACTTTTGAATAATTCTGTTATTTCTGATTCACACGACTCTGATTTGTTTAATTAAAAAAAAAGTTTTAAAAATATTACTTAGGAACGTAACCGGAGCTGGGAACGTAACCGGAGCAGATCAGTTGAATTATTTAATCAAAAAAATTTAAATATATGATTTAAAGCACATATACTAATTTAAAAACATACGGGATTGTTCGAATGCGTATTTATTACATTTTATTTAAAGAAAAAAATGTATCCATTGTGAAAAGTTAAATTTGGTAGTTACCATGCATAAGTGCACTTACCTTAGAAAGGCTATCAAACATACAGTCGGGGGCATAAAGAATTACAAAACCTATGGAAATTACATGTTGTCGCATATGTAATAAATTCTTACCTCAGTGTATTCAGTGCTCTATTTTCTCCGTCATAGTAAGTCCAGATATTGTGGAATTTGTGTCCATAATGACAAATAAGAACTTAAAAATTTGATGTGGAATTCACATGTTAATGCCGACTCTTCAAATGTTGAGGTGATTTTGGAGCCAGATTACGCCGCAATGTGGGTTGGCTCCCAGAATGCAACATGACACGTGTCAGCTTTCAAAATGCCATTCCGCCGTTTTGAAATACGTCACGAATAAATAAGGTTACTTGATGTTGCATTCTGGGAGTCAATCCTCCTTGGATCACAAACATGGCGATTCATGAAAACATTAGTCCGATTTGGTAGGGATTTATCCATCATTTGCAGGTATGAGGCTTTGGATTCATTTATTGTGCTACTTAAAGTGGATGGGAATTATTTTTCTACCACTTGGGAGAGTTTGAGACATGAAACTTAGAATTTAGCTCATTGTGACAACTTTTGAGGGTTGAGATTTATTTTTGTCCCCCACTTTAGAACAATCATTGTATGGAGAATGAAGTGATTAAATGTAGTAAGCAAATAATTCCATTTGATTTCACCCATTGTATTTGTTCAGCGAACTATTAGAACCCACTCTGTTATACTATGTCAAGAAAATGGACTTAGTGATATGGAAGTACGATCCTTTAAAACAAAGGAATATCTGGACAGACACAAAAGGATTACCCACGGAAAAGTTGTATTTGAATGTCCCCATTGTGGAAAAACATGGAAGAAAAGGGCAAACATGATCAATCACATTAAAAAAAATCACTTAATTTATTAACTCATGAAAAAATAACTATTTTATGGCATCACTTTTGTATAAGGCCTATTTGCAATTAGCGATGCGACTGATGACTGCCTCTTCTTTGTTTGACAGAACTTTGTACTATACATGTATCTCCTTGTGTTACTTCCCAGCTTCCCACTGAAGCAATAACTATCAGTGAATTTTTTGATACTCTAAAATATAAGTGCAAAAAATATATCTTTAGAAAATTTATATGTTTTGCCATGCATTGATTTTCCTGTAAGTGAAGGGTAGTAATGCTCATTTTAACATTCATATGTGTTTGTAAATAATATATATGCTTTAAATCATATATTTTATTTTTTTAAATTATATAATTCAACTGATCTGCTCCGGTTACGTTCCCAGCTCCGGTTACGTTCCTAAGTAATATTTTTAAAACTTTTTTTTAATTAAACAAATCAGAGTCGTGTGAATCAGAAATAACAGAATTATTCAATAGTATAGGGACTATTCTGTACTTTTTTCAAAAGTCTATACTTAAATGTTGTAAAAAGTTATAATCGAAAAACCATCTTTCGGAGTAAAGTCCGACTGCGCCGATTTCAATAACTTCGTACTTGATCAGAACTGGGTTCCAACAGAATTCCTACAAACTCATGAATGAAATAGCCATTGCATGGAATACTTACTTTTGTCAAAATCAAAGTAGAACTCTAGTTAAAAAATATATTGTGCCAAATTATTGCCATTTCTTAGTAAAATGTCGTTCTCCGGTACGTTGCCAAAATTATTCGATGGTACCCCGTGATATAAGATGAACACCTTAGAAAGATAGAGAAAAAACATAAATACACATGAAAAAGCCATGTTTACCATTAGCTATAATTCTTATCTTAAATAATCCTAAAATATATGACAGCCCTCCATCCATTTGAAATTCTTTCAAATTCATTCGAAATAAAATCCATTTTTGGAAGGGGCTATGTACAGAGGTTATTTGCATCAAGGGTTTTTATTATGTCACCACCAAAAAGTGATGACATATTGTTATGGTCTCTGTTTTTTGTGACGATGCTTGGTGGTTGGCGTCTGTAACAAATTTGGTTGGCATCTGTAACAAATTCTTTACTTCCAATAACTTAACAAATACTGTTGAGACTGACTTCAGTTTTTTTCAAAATCATCTACAAGTTTCCAGAAGTTCAAATCTGACTTTAGATTTAAGATTTGACCTTCAATGACCTTTTCAAGGTCAAAAAAGGTTTATGATTGGTGGGTGGCGTCTGTAACAAATTCTTACAACTTTCAATAACTTAACAAATACTGTTTAGACCGACTTAAATTTTTTTCAAAATTATCTAGAAGTTTTCAGAAGTTCAAAGCTGATATAAGATTCCTTCAATGACCTTTAGAAGGTCAAAAGGGTTAAAAAGGTCAAAAAGGTATTTTTTCAACTAGCTTCAAATTGATTAAATGTTTTCTTCAAAATCATCTACGAGTTCTCAGAAGTTCAAATCTGACTAAGGATTGAGATTTGACCATCAATGACCTTCTCAAGGTCAAAAAATGTCAAAAAGGTATATTTTCAACTTGCTTGAAATTGGCTTTATTTTTTTTCAAAATCATCTACAAGTTCTCGAAAATTCAAATCTGACTTTAGATTTGAGATCTGACCTGGTAAAAAAGGTCTTAAAGTGCGCGCCAATGTTAAAACTGCACAGGCGCAGCGCTCTCGCTAACCTATATAAAGAGATTACAAGGTACAGGCTTCAGGTACAGGTAAGCCAGGAAGGTGAACAATCTTCGACCCGTGTTGATTTCCCGTATAATCGTAACCAGGCAAGTTTCCCTACAAGTTTCACCATTGAAATTGAAAATTACTATTAGATATACTTTGTAGATGTTATTTATGAAGCTATTAAATGTATGCATCAATCACATGGCTCATTTTGAACATTAAATAAAAAGTATATGTGTTTTGTTTCCCAGGGAATTGTATTCCCATGTAGTACACACATAACACTGGCCCCTTGGGTGGGCCCAGAAAAAAAAATTGGGCCCAAAAAAAAATTTGGGCCAATAAAGGCCTTAATGCCCCCAAAAGTCGGCCTTTTTGGTCATTACTGGGCCTTTTAAGGCCTTATTTTTTAAATTCAGGCCAAATTTTGAAGAAAATGGGCCTCAAAATTTTTAAATTTGGGCCCACTTTTGTGTTTTAGGGGCCCAAAATTTTTTTTCGCGCAAGCGCGGACGTTTTTTTCTCTGACCTGAAATTTGGGCCCCCCCTTGTTGGTTCCCAGATCCGCCCCTGCATAAATAGTGTACATTATGTAGTACTTGAATAGCCTGGTTTATATAATATTGAAGAGCATGCTGATTGTACACACGAGTACATGCATGAAGGCCTAATATTGATATTGCAAACTTAATAATTTCACAATATGACACAAATGGTTCATCTCATCAAATGTGCAAATATGAAGTTTGCAATCCATTCAGGTCATGATTTTTTCATCATTTTTTCCCTACAAAATGGCCATAGAAAAATGCTCCAAAAACATCTTTTACACTTATCAAATATCATAAAACTTTGCAAAACCAAAGATTGTTGTATTATATTTCATTATTTAGTATCATATTTGGATAAGATGTAGGGATGCGTAGGATTCAAATGGATTTTTATAGACACAAAAATACTTCCTGGTTTGGAATCTACACCTCTACACTTCATGATTGAATTATGAGCCTAATAAGTGGCCAATACATCAATACAATGCCGAATATAGGTCAACAAGATACTAGTGTGCATATAAATGAAATAATAAAAGCAGTATACTCATTTTGAAAAATCAGATGAATTAATTTTTTTTCATGGGGAGATCATAATGGCAAGCGAATTACTTCCTTTAGGTTCTTTGTTACTAAGTTGATTTCAAAGTAAGTTAGTTACTAAGTTAACAACTAAGTTAGTTACTAAGTTACTAAGTTCCTTTCGAAGGTCACTGAAGGTCAAAACTAAGGTCATATATGAGTTCCTGAGAACTTGTAGATGATTCTAAAAATAAGTTAAATGGTCAATTTAGAGCAAGTTGAAATTTGGTCTTATAAAATTTCAAAATTCGACCTTTTTCAGTTTTTGAGTTCTAATATCTCTGTTCTAATTTTGTTGCAAAATTTTAATAGATAGTCAATTGCTAATACAGGTAGAACCTTTAGAGGAATATATATCCTGACTTTAATCCAAAAGCACAGGGTGTTCAAAAAACGCAACCCAAAGAAATCGCTATATCTTGAAAAATACTGGTTCAATTATGTTCATATTTTCAGGAAATAAAGAAGAGACTGTGTATGTATAGCCCCTTTTGTTAGTTAGTTGTAAAACATGATGTCTTGGACACTTGCTCAAAAGACAGCTGTACTAGCAAAATACAGAACACCCTGTATTGACTTGTAGTCATCAACTTTGAGAACTTAGAAAACACAGTTTGAGAGTCAGTTTGATGACCTTGACCTTTGACCTTGCAAATTTTACTTTTTAGACCTCAGTAGGTCTTTTATGATTAAATACACCTAAATTTGAATCCAGAAAATCAATTTGAACAATCAACTTTTTTGACCTTTTGGAGGTCAAACAAAGGTCAAATTTGCACTCCTGAGAACTTGTAGATGTTTTAAAAAAAATGTTTGGTCAATTTAGAGCAAGCTGAAATTTGGTCTTGAAAATTTTCAAATTTGACCTTTTTCAGTTTTTGGGTTCTAATATCTCAAAACTGATGCAAAATCTTAATAGATAGTCAATTGCTAATATTTGTTGAACATTTAGATGAATATATATCTTGACTTTCATCCAAAAATATTGATTTATAGTTTCCAACTTAGAAAACAGTTTGTGTTTTTAGTTTGATGATGGATGACCTTGACCTTTGACCTTACACATTTTACTTTTTTGGACCTCAGTAGGTCTTTTGTGATTAAATATACCTAAATTTGAATCAAGAGAATCAATTTGAAAAATCAACTTTTTGACCTTTCAGAGGTCACTGAAGGTCAACCAAAGGTCAAAATTAAGGTCAGATTTGAACTTCTGTGAACTTGTAGATGGTTTTTAAACTGCTAAAAGGTCATTAGCGGTTCAGAGCATTTTAATAGCCTGAAAACCCGTAGACAAGATTTTAAAGAAGCAATATTAGGACAGAAAATCCAAAATGGCCGCCTTAACATTTACCCAGAATGCCCAAAACCTAATCAGTTTGAAATTTGTATACTAAGAATCATTCCTTCAAATATTAAATTGATCTGTGAAATCATTAGCCTGAAAACGTGAAGACAAGACTTTACAGAATAGATCTTAGGATGGAAAATCCAAAATGGCCACCTAGACATTTACCAAGAATGCCCAAAACCTAATCAGTTTAATATTTGCATACTATGAATCATTCCTAAACATTTTTAATTGATCTGTGAAACGATTAGCCTGAAAACATGTAGACAAGACTTTACAGACACGGTTTTAGGACAGAAAATCCAAAATGGCCGCCTCAACATTTACCCAGAACACCTTAATCTTAATCAGTTGAAGTTTACCACACTAAGAATCATCCCTAAAACAGATGGACAGACAGACGGACACGCCTAGGCCGACAATATGGCCCCACACTATGTGGTGGGGACATAAAAAGGTGTTAAAAAAGGAAGAATAAATAAATAAAGAATAATAATATCTATAAAATTAATAGGAGGCCCCCTTTGGGGCCTCTTAATAATTTGCTTCATACATTTGCTCTATGTAGTTCAAAATTATATTACACAATCCACTGGCTTTGATATAAAGCTTTTTTCAGAAAATATCCAAGCTTGAAAAAAGTGCTCACCTTAGCAAGCAGTATGACAAGTTCTAAATTGAAAAGGTGCTTTCTATTTGCAAGCTTCAATTATTACAGAAAGAGGGTTTTATTTATATGCAACGAGAACTTGTTATACCATAAGCCTAAATTGTAATAAAGCAATCAGCCTATCAAAGGGTTAAAGTGACTAATATACACAGGTTTCACTGTACTGTGTGACAAATGATCAAAAATCAGACAAACCATAACATATTATTAGGTCATAAATGATACATAAAATTGTATTTTTCAGTTACACAGATTGAGTAAAAACACACAGGGGTGTAATAAACATCCAATAAATGCTTTATAAACACCCCCTGGACTTCATCATAATCTCATCTCTTTCTCATTATACTCAAGATTACAAAACAACAACAGATTATCAACATTCAAAATCAAATTAATGAATAAATTTGTCAGTGTAAAAAGATTCAGCAGATAAGTGCCAGGATTGTTATTGGTACAAGTACTTACAGAGAAATACAAAAATAATTATAAGTATAAGTACAAAAATATTAAAATTAAATTGAGCAAACCAGCACACAACTATGTGACTGAATTAAAAAATATGGAAGCAAAAATATTCAATCAGGGAAAATTGTTTCTTGATAGTATTGACTAGTATAACATGGATATGAGACTTCATTATCACACTCTAGCTAGTCACATTTCAAAATTGCACCATGGTTAGGGTTGAATTGTGATGCAATTTGTAACATTTACAAAATGCTTTAAGAAGCGCTGGAACGGATCCTAATACATGCACATGAATCCAGGTGGAAATGTTCAAAATTTGTGATCATATATAGTTGTATACACAATGTCAATAATACATTCAAAATCCAAAGTTTGACATCCAGACATAGAACAGATATTTTCCATGGTCATTCATGTAACTTTAACAATTTGAATCAAGAGTAAATTACATGTAGAGTATTACAGATTTGAAGTGCTAGAAGAATCAGATAAAGCAAGCAACTTCTAAAATTGTTTCAATATTTTGGGCTCACATCATCTGTTATCATAAGTCCTCCCTAAAATTGGCAAAATTCATACTTTATTTATGTGGATATTCACATTTATCATTCAGGAGAATTTACACTTTTGCACTATTCTACTATAATCACACTTCAAAAATTCATCACTTATAGACACAATAGCACTAGTTTACATTTCAAAAGTACTGTTTATATTTAGTAATTTAGTTCATAGAAAACACATTTTGTGTAAGAAATATCACCAAAATTATTCACTAATTTATTTGTGTTATCATCAATGGAGTAGTGTCATAAAACAGTGTACAATAATAAAACAGCATACTCTCAAAATTTAGAAAAAAGTTGATTTTTTTTATATTGAGTTGCCCCACACTTTAAAAATCAATACAAATGGCCAATAATTTACATTTTATTAGTCCATATTAGTCAGAATTTTGTCATTTAAAACGCCCCAGAACGCTTAAAATGCAATATCATTTTCAAATTTTCTTTCCCCCCTCAAAGCTTGATCGCCTCGCTCACTCATGGCGTACACTCACAAAATACCCACACTATGCCACTGATCATGGTGCATTCATAACTTTATGTCATAACCTCAATAAGCAAAGTTGCAATTATGGGGCACCAGTTTCACAGAAATTTGAGTATTTCATTTGATGGATATTTCTGTCATGGAACAGTATGACGTATAACAAGAAGGGATTCACTTGGATTTGGCATAATATTCAGGGATTTTAGCCCTTAACAAGATTTTACTTTGATATATGATAATAACAATGATAAGAAATATCCAAAAAACATTGGTGTACTTATAGAATGGCTGTCTCAAATTCAACCCAACAAGTCCCTTCCGGTTACAAACGATTCAATAGTAAAAGCTGTTGGTGTCGGTGATATGCAGCGATGTACAATACATACACCAAACTGGTTTCACCTTGTAATTCAAATAGACTCCTTTGGTGAATGTAGCTTTTATTCCTAAACTACACTTAGTATCATACCTTTCAAGTTACAATCAAATCATGATTTTTCACTTGGCACACAGAAACTTTTTTGGGGAGTTCTATCCATTGATATCAGACTTACATGACCCTCAACTTGAAAGTATGAGCTTACATTTATTTAAATCCAAGTGCCTCCATGTGACCACTAGGGCCTTGTAAACATAGTCCTCCCATGATGTGTAGCCGATTCTTAAACATAATGTATGCACATGAACAATGTGCAGATGGAATATCTGTCAACTCACTCCAGCTATCTGTGTCAAGGTCATATGCCTCTACAGTTGTCAACGGTTTTCCCTGATTGCCTGGAAAAAATCCACGGCAGAGTTAAACTTGAGTATTAAATATAAGCCGTTGTCTAATTCTCCATAGATGCACGACTGTGCTCTATTCAATCTGCTTCCGGGAATCTATGTACATGTATTGTGTTGTATTATGACGTTACACCTGGGAATGGCGAAAATAACAGTAAGTTTGGTTATTTCATTGACTTCAATCCCCAATTCTCTTATGACAATGTTTTCATTTCTATGTTTGAATCAGAATAAATAATGATAGGCCATTCAATATGGTGAAATTCTACACTCATTGGACAACTCGTGCTATCCAACTTGTACTGACTTTCACCATATTGAATGGCCTTTCATTATTTATTCCTTAAGTAGAGAAGGAATAGGTAAGGAATGTTGTTATACATAAAATTCAATAATCATCTTAGTAAAAATAGGATGATATTAATTTCTTGAAATATTACTATTCTGGGTGACATTCTGATACTGGTTGATTTTTATAATACAAATCCTTGAATAACTGGTGGTAGTTATACTATTTCTCAACTAAAATAAAGTATACCATTTTTTGCATTTCCAGAAAATATGATACATGTGCTTAATCACTTAATGAATTGGGTTACATGCGTTTTATTGCAAAATATATGATATGCCATCTATAATCAATCACAGTGAGTAGCTTACCTAGGCCCCCAGCACATATCACTTTGTTACCCATATATGCTATAGCAAAGTCCCCTCTAGCTGTGGGTATAGATTTACCAACTTTCCATTCCTCTGAAATTACAATACACAAATGTACAAGGTGTTCAACAAGCTATCATGACCAGCACAATGCTATGGCAAAGTCCTAACTGTTCAATCTTCTGATGATCATAGTGATTAAGAGCAGTATAACAATGTAGATGTATTTTACTTTTCTCAATATAGAGCTATCACATTAATATGCAACATCCTTCATTGGCATAGACTTATTGAGAACATATCACTGAAATGTATAAAGTTTACACAAAGAACATAACAAAATTGGCTAAATACCATTTTTCAAATCAAATGCCTCACAAACATCAGAAAACCCTTCCTGAGCCTTCTTCTTGAGGCCTCCCATGCTGAACATATGGGTATCTGAAGTTGTGTACAAAGCAAACACTCTTTTGCTAGGGATGGCAGGAAGTTCTCGCCATTTGTTTGTCTCAAAGTTGAACACTTCAAATGCTGTAGTTGGCAGTTTACCCTGTCTTCCCCCTGCAAAATATGAACTTCATTTAGTAATACCCTGTCTTCCCCCTGCAAAATACAAACTTCATTTAGTTTTAACCTACAACGTATAGTTTACTTTCCTCAAAAATATTGATGATAAAAAGCAATCACATACAATATGTAGCAATCAGACCTACATTTGTTTTGATTTTCAGTTTACTTATAAAACAGTCAGATATCCAAGACAACTATGTATCCAAGCTTCTTGACCACCCTTTTAGGATGCAGAAGTTTGTATGTCATCATGTAGCCCCCTCTAGGCCTCATAGTAGAGAGGGTTGTTCTGATGACAGTTGATGTAGGAGGGTAGTATCAGTGAATGGGCTATTGAGTAAGTTCCACTACTTTCTTGCCCCTCCATTTAAATAAAACATACAGTTATAACACACAGTTCCATGAATGGCTGGTCTTCCAAACATGTATCATATGAGTTTATGTTTTCCTTTGGCAGTATGCAATACTGTTTTGAATGCAGAATCTGCAGTATTGTTCTCAAATAAATTTGACTGTTTGGCTATTTGTAACTACAGAGATGGCAGTAAATCATGAAAACTGAATTCAAAATATTTCATAATTCTTACCAATAACATACAGATCTTTCTCATCATTTAGAAGAAATGAAAATGTTGCATATCTAGCAGTAGGCATGGATGGCATACTCTTCCACTTGTTGGTTTCTATGTTATAACTCAACAAGAAATCTCTAGGGTTTGTATCTAGTGCCATTCCACCCAAAACAAGAACCTGGCCATCTAAAAAAACAGTAATGACATTAGATACATATAAAAGTTCAAATCAATACAGAATGTAAGTTTAATTTTCAAAGAAATTTAACATGGGTATGACAGACGTTACCGACAGACATAAAAAAACCTTGACCAACATTAAATTGCAAAACTAAAATGTGTGATAATGTGTTTAGAAGATTTTCTTTAATATTATAATCTTAAATGCTATCCTGTTTTTCACTAATGATCATATCTCACTAAGGTGGGTCTATCACGGATTATTAAATCACTCATAAGTTCATTCTTTACAAGGTTGTGGTTCACTGACCTTTGACTACTGCAGATATGCCTAACAAATGTTCAATCATTGGTTCTTTTACTGTCCATTTTTTTTCTTTAATATTATATGCTTCAACACAATCTAAAGGTTGCTGAGTTTCTGCTACGCCCCCAAACACTATAATGTTATCTCCAACCACCGCTGCAGCTGCTCCAGCTCGTTTAGTAGGCATATCAGCCAACCTTGACCAGTGCCTCTTACCAGGATCATACATTTCAAAGCATGGTAAAGGGACTCCTTTTGCATCACAGCCTCCCACAACATATAAGCAGCCATTGCATTCTACAGGTGAAGAGAAGACACGTTTCGTTGGCATGCCTTTAAGACTTTCCCATCTGAAGCTGGGTCCTTTAGCTTTGGCCTCAGCCATATTGATAAAAGAAGGGCTGAAAAGATAATGCGGAGCAGTTAATTTATCTTTCAGATTTTAGCTCTGAAACCATGCATGCTGAAACAGTGAATCAGTAAAATAATGCATGCTCAAAAAATCATAATACACATACATACAGAGAACTAAGGAATACCATAGGCGTCAGAATGGGGGGGGGGGGGGGGGGGGGTGGGTGCGTTGGGTGCGAACGATTCTATATCAGACAATAACTATTTATGGTCCTTAGAAACGCTCAGACTGCACCAAATAACATCTTCAATGACAAAAATTTTCACGGGGAGTATGCCCCCAGACCCCCAGATGCGTGGCCTACACCATCACTTGCCTAGCCATCTATATTTTCTGGAAAACCCACCCCCTTTTTCAAATACGGTGCGCACTTCTGTTTGTTTTGGGTTTCAGATATCATGGTTTTAGGTATCATGCAAAAACATTGACTTTTGCACATCGGTGGCATTGTGCCGTTTTAATAAATCTCACACCTTAGTTGTGTATCCGTTAAAAAATACCAGATTTCACCATACAGTGCACCTATACATTTAGCGATTTATTTGTATACTTTCTCATAAAGGATAAATATTGCAGTTTTGTTGAATTTTCTCTCTCCCCTCTCCCTCCATTTTTTTCGATCACAGAGCGTGGGTATATGTGCTAAATTGCCACATTAAAGATGCATTATACCATAGGTTTCCATCCCAGACAATCAATGATGTCCTATTGTTATTGCTCATATAATATCTCAGATACCATGGATATATCTTGAGAATAACCTTTAGGTACATTGCCGAAATATTGAAACAATCAACAGAACAACCAACCTCCAGAATTAAACACAATCAATGATGCAGATGCGAGTAGGTAGTTACCAATTTCACCACCAGGTGGCTCGTTCGGGTCAGATAGCACGGCGAGTATAGTAGAGAGTTCCCTTTAACTTTAATTACATCTGTTTTAGTGGTTCAATTTTCATATAAAAATTATGTATCTAATACTTCTATGAATGTTCATCTCTCTGGTAGTAACGTACAAAGTTGGACATCCTACGAAACGTCAAAAAGAAAAATAAATATCTCTGAGAAAGAAAATCAACAACTTATGTATCTAATAGTTATGCAAATTAAAAAATGTCCAGTAAAGGAAAATGTCATTTGTCGATTACAAGAAAAGATATTTCACTTTTTGTGACTTTGTAACATGGGGTCTATGAGGATTCAACCCGAACTAGAAATCACATTTTCAAAACAAATTAAATTTTCAAAGTTGATAAACAATTTTCGAAACCATATTTCTTGATGTACTTTTACATGTAGATTTCAAATATGACATCACTTTGACTGAATTTTGAATATTTAATGACGTAAATCAAGATAATTTTTACTCGCATTTAGTCCTCGGCTAGTGAGGGGACCCCACTGAGTCACACAAGCACCCACAAGCGCCTTGAACCAGGCAGCCAATCAGGTTCATGATAAACAAATTCAACGACCAATCAGATGACAGGAGGACTTTCTTGGTATATTCAAACCTCAGATTGAATTAATTTCCGCGAAAATAATTAGATCGGCCAGCACAATCGCAAAATTTATACTGAAAGAGGGGGATTTGGGACTTTTTCTATAGTAAGTAGATGGATGCATATGTGGTGAAACTCAATATGCAAAAAAAGTCCAGAGGGGTCTCGATTATGCTATCCTATGGCATAGAGCCTCTTTAAGATTATTTTTTCTTTATTTTTTGAAAGGATTGAAGTTTTTATAGCACTTGAAATGTTTAATTTTTTCAATGTCCGTCATTCACCATGTTCGTTTTTACATCCATAGAGCAATAACGTCCTTAATTATTTCGTGAATATATCTTACGAATGTGAGATAATTCGGAAGTTCAAGATGTAAATATTCCACTCCATTGAAGTTTAAAACTGGCTGCCGGTATGTACATCATTTTACAATGAACGATAAAATAATCAGTTCACGTAAACTTTTTTGTAATTCTTGTAAACGATTTTTGTTATTTTTGTTCGAAAATAGGGAGGTGTAATTTAATTTGGTAGTCTGTTAACGTTTTTTCGTATTTCCTTAACTGGCAATACGCTCTTCACGTGGAGCCTTTCATCCAATTTTTCCAGAAATCGTTTGAAAGAAATATGTTCCGAGAAATCAACATATAATTAAGCCTACTTTTTAAATTGTAATGTATATCCACAAAGACAAATGTTGCACCGTACAACAGAGAAATTGAATGTTTTATTAGGTAAGTATCCATTAACAAGCACAGGTTAATAATAAGTGATGGTAATGATTTTAGGATATTATACTCTGAAATTGCTCAGAATGCACCGAATGATGTTCAATTTTCGAAATTTTCTGTGTAGTTTCAATATAATAATCTGATAAAACGTATAAACACCGATTTAGTTTTAATCGAAAAGAACTATTTAAAGTCCTTGAAAACGCTCAGATTGCACCAAATAACATTTTCAAAAAAAATTTCCAGAGGGAGCATGTCCCCCGGATCCCCCAAGATGTGCGTCCTTCGGCCATGCACGTATTTCCCACGCCACCTACATTTTCTGGAAAACACACCCCAGTATCAAATATGATACTCCAAGGAAATTCTTCTAAAATGCCTTAAAAATGTTTTATGAGGATTACAAAATGCCACATCCCTATTTGAAGCATGTTTAAGGTCATATATGGAAAGCATTGCTGCTGTTTAACATGGCCTAGGGAGACACACCAACTATTACTCTGGTGTAAAACTGACTTTAATTTTGGCCAAACACTAAATTTTGAAATGCCTGTAATTTTTTCACATTTGTGAATTGAACCATGATACTTGGCAAATCAATGTAACTTTGGATGTGACCGTGACAATGTAATATACTGTAGTGCTGCAAGGCCTGGCATGACCGTGACAATGTTATATAGTTCTGCAAGGCCTGGCATGACAAGTTCAGGTATGAGAGTGGTAATGTAGAAATTTACGATTTGGACTGCTATAACCGTGACAATGTGTATTGCAAAGCCTGGCACGACCGTGGCAATGTAATATAGTACTGCAAGGCCTGGCATGGCCGTGACAATGTAATATAGTATTGCAAGGCTTGGTATGACCGCCGTGGCAATAGTATTCCAAGTTTGGGTATGAGAGTGGTAATTTATGATTGCTATAAGTGACCGTGACAATGTGTATTTGGAAACATGGCAAGACCGTGACAATGTATTATGGGATCGCAAAGCCTGGTATGACCGTGACAATGTAATATAGTATTGCAAGGCCAGGTATGAGGGTGGCAATGTAGAAATTTAGGCTCAGTCCTACTATAACCGTTATAATGTATTGCAATGACTAGTAAATATGTATGACATTAATGCCAGGAATATCCTTAACAATTTTAAGTGATCGTCATTACAATTAAACAGTTTAATACTTTGATCATGGTGTTTAGGCTTAACTACCTTAATCATGTCAAAATCAAAATTACTACCATACATTAATTACATTTGCTTATAAACCACAATAAAGGCTACGGTCGCGCCAGGCTTCCACGATAACACTTCCAGGGTCATGACAGGCCTTGCAATACAGTGCGTATCAAAAAAAAAGCAACAGATTGTTATCTTGAAAAAGCACAAAACCAGTGATAACAGCATTGATATCATTCAATGCACCATAAAGCTATGTGTCTCCTCTTTACAATGATATATCATTCATTGATATTTGGTCATGGTTTGGTGAGTAATCATTCCATTTGCAAAGTGGGCCAACATTAGCTTCGGGCCAAGTTATAAACATTGCAAAAGTTAGTGTATGGAGCCCGATGCAATATTGGACGAAAACATAAAACCAATGCTGACTGCATCCTTTTAATTCAATGTACCAAAAAGCCAAATTACTCCTCTTTGCAATGGAATATCATTCATTTACAGGGAGTCATCTCTGGCCGAATAATCATTAATTTTGCAAAGTTGGGCAAAATTCAGCTCGGACCCAAGTTTTAAACATTGCAAGAGTCAGGAATTGTGAGCACAGATGCTCCTGAGATAGCTCCAAAAGAAAAAGTCACAACAATTTAAGTCAGGGGAACTTCCATTGGCACTTAGCCCTTGCACTGATTTCTTCAATATCTAAAACTTGGCGCAGAGCAGATTTTGACCCACTGTGCAAATGGAAGGATTTCTCACCCAACCATTACCACATGTGAATGAATGACATATCATTGCAAAAGGGAGAGACATGGCTTTATGGTACATTAAATGAAATTGATGTAGTCATCACTAGTTTTGTGATTTTACGAGATAACTACTTGTTGCGTTTTTTTTGATACACCCTGTATAATACATCATTGTCACGGTTATACCAGCCTGTCACGGTTATACCAGGCTTACACGATAACACTACCACGGTCATGGCAGGATCCTTGCGCTACTTGAAAACACTGATTAACATGGCGACGGTTGTGGCAGGCGTAAGTCTTGCAATAAATAACATGTGGGCATGTGTATATTTCTTTGCTTTTTTCAGGAAAGTATCATTACATTGTCTTCTTTTAGAATATCTGGTAGGAGTTCAATGGGAACTCCAGGAAATTCTGATATTTCACACTTTCTATTTTTCCAAATTTTCTTTCAAAATTTCCAGACAACCCAGGAGGTACCATTGAAACATCCCTGAAAATTTCAGATGAATCCCTCAAATGGTTTGGCTGAAAACCTGTAGACAAGTCTTGAAAGTGAAGATTTTAGGACGAAAAATCCAAAATGGCCACCTTAAGATTTACCTGTAGACCCGGGGGGCTCACTGTATATAAACCTTGACGGGGATCCTCGGCGCACATGGGGTACCTTTTTGGACATTTGGTATGGCAATGGACCCAAATTTTAGGATGTGGTATGAGAATGCCCCCTCATTAAACTTTTGATGGATGGAAATGGTCAGATTTTTCAACTTTCTGGTATGAGAATGGTCATGGAAAATGTGTTATCTCACAATTATGGTATGGAATTGGTCTAGTAGTTACACATATTCTAATATGAGGTTGTTTTGGTTCGTTTTCCTCAAAGATCGCCTTCTTCTTGGGACCTTCTTCAGTTTAAATAAATAGCTTTTTTCCCAGGAAATATTCTACTTTGGACCAGTCATGGCATTGGTATGGCATTGGTCCTATATTTTGACATTTGGTATGGCATTGGTTTCATATTTAGGCCTTTGGGATGGCTTTTGGGCAAAATATTGGTTGGTGTGGGAACACATTCAAATTTGACATTTTGGTATGGGAATATATTGATATCTGAGGGTTCAGCCTAGGACCCCTGACAAATTTTGTACACAGTGAACAGTGGGCCTGTAGGCAAGTCTTGAAAGTGAAGATTTTAGGATGGAAAATCCAAAATGGCCACCTTAAGATTTACCCAGAATGCCCAAAAACTAATCAGTTCTTGACGTTGATATATAGAAACATCCCTGAAAATTTCAGATGAATCCCTCAAATGGTTTGGCTGGAAACCTGTAGACAAGTCTTGAAAGTGAAGATTTTAGGACGGAAAATCCAAAATGGCCACCTTAAGATTTACCCAGAATGCCCAAAAGTAATCAGTTCTTGACGTTGATATGTAGAAACATCCCTGAAAATTTCAGATGAATCTCTCAAATGGTTTGGCTGGAAACCTGTAGACAAGTCTTGAAAGTGAAGATATTAGGGCGGAAAATCCAAAATGGCCACCTTAAGATTTACCCAGAATGCCCAAAAACTAATCAGTTCTTGACGTTGATATGTAGAAACATCCCTGAAAATTTCAGACGAATCCCTCAAATGGTTTGGCTGGAAACCTGTAGACAAGTCTTGAAAGTGAAGATTTTAGGACGGAAAATCCAAAATGGCCACCTTAAGATTTACCCAGATTGCCCAAAAACTAATCAGTTCTTGACGTTGATATGTAGAAACATCCCTGAAAATTTCAGATGAATCCCTCAAATGGTTTGGCTGGAAACCTGTAGACAAGTCTTGAAAGTGAAGATTTTAGGACGGAAAATCCAAAATGGCCACCTTAAGATTTACCCAGAATGCCCAAAAACTAATCAGTTCTTGACGTTGATATGTAGAAACATCCCTGAAAATTTCAGATGAATCCCTCAAATGGTTTGGCTGGAAACCTGTAGACAAGCTGAAAAGTGAGACGCCGCCCACCGCCCGCCCGTCAAGCTGACTACAATATCGTACCTTTTGTTAGGTACGATAAAAAATAAGCAATCAAATGACTACATGTTTATTGCAACAGTATATAAAAAAATAGAAACATATGTACTTGTCCTAACTTTTGTATATTTCAGATAGTTATGTATAATGTGCAGTAAAGCAGTGACCTTTTGTAATTTAGGGAGTTTCAGCCATGTTCATTTTTCCAAAAATAACATGGCGGAGAAGCATCAAAATATAAGAGGGCACAGCTATGATAGCTAAACTACAAAACAAACCAAAATATACAAAAGTTAGGACATGTATAAATGTTTCTATTTTTACATATACTGCTTCAATATGGTCCTTTGATTGCTTATTTTTTAAATTCAAAGTAATAACGAAAGAATGTGATGTAACCACGTGTCTACTTACCAGCTTGTTCTATGTCATCCATCGGACTAGGTTACATTGTGGAACGCAGCCAAACAGGACACTGAAGGCAACAGCATATCGATCTTGATCTTAGCCAAATTTTTGGAAATTTAGATTGTCCATTTTGCAAGCTCACGTGACTGACACGTGTCTGATCACGTGACTAGTTACTGTATCGATCATGTGACTTAATGACGTATCACCCAACCATGTCTTCAAGGAAAACAGAAGTAAATATTTTGGAAAATGTTTTCCGAGCATTTGCTACTGATTATAGAAGGCCCAATTACGCAACGAACGAAACTGCTAAATTGTATTCCGTGCCTAACAGGCTCAGTACGCAATGAAAGAAAGACTGCCTCCTAAATGAAAACACTACACATAAGGTGGTGAAAAACAACGAACTAAAGTTGAAAGATCGCAACGTTCGCTACTTTGTTCAATTCCGGAATTCTCCAAGGGGCTGCAAATGGGAAATTATTTAGATTTTATAACCTCAGAATTATAGGCCCCGGGAACATGTATAAAATAGTGAGTCGACATACTGCCTTCAGTGTCGTGTTTGGCTGAGTTCCACAATGTAACCTAGTCCGATGGATGACATAGAACAAGCTGGTAAGTAGACACATGGTTACATCAAATTCTTTTGTTATTTTAACCATATGAACTGGTTCACAGAATAAAAAAAATGAGTGTACAGTACTGTGTAGGCCGGGGGTAAAATGCTCCTCCCCTTTATTGTAGAATGAAAACGTTAAAGAGAATCAAAGGGATAAAGAGACTGCTATGAATTTAACAACATTGACTGCTACTTACCAGAGGACAAATATGATATTTACGTTTATAGCCTAAATCGTTTGAACTAGAGATTGAACAGAAAAACATAAATATTTGTAAAATTTAAGTTGCTCTCGTTGAAGTCTCGCACATGACGAGATCTCATGAAAGAATTACACATATTTATAGATGTCACTTTAGGCTCTTGCTTTAGGTAAATATCAATCAAGAGTTCTGCACACTAATAGTTTTTCCAGGTAATGATTACTCATATTTCATTCATTTATGCTTTATTTTTTTCAATGAAGATTATGTCATGAAAATTCCATTAGACTTCAGAAATCATCTAGATCTATATATAGATCTACAAAAAAAGGTTATATATATTTTGCAAGTGGATCCAAGAGACCAAGTAATATTATTTTGCAGGGGTGGCATGATGCACACATTTCAATTTTGTATATAGTGAATTCCCAGCGATTGATTTCAGTACAGTAAAACTGTCATAATGAACACTGAAGATCTGTGCCCAGTGAACATTATATGAGTCTACTCTATTGAACACCTGTGTATAGAGAACACCAATTCCCATGCAGCCATGCAGTGATTTCACTGCAGTACAGTAAAACTGTCATAATGAACATCTCTTTAGTGAAGATCTGTGCCCAGCGAACATATGAGTCTACTCTATTGAACACCTGTGTGTAAGCGAACACCAATTCCCAGCCAGTGATTTCAGTAACTTTTAGAGGGAATTGTACTTACAGTAAAACATGTCTAATCCGAGGGACCAGCTAAAAGCGTTCGGATTAGGAGGTGTTCACATTTTGAGGTTTTGCATTTGCAAGATTTTGGATTTTGAAGAAATTGGAACAAATTCTCAATAAATATTTAGAGTTCTTTTGACTACATAGCTTTATGGCATTAAAATGACATGAAAATCATAATGTTCAGATTAGATAGGTTAATTTTTCAAATATGACTGTTCACTGTTCAAATTGGGAGGTGTTCATATTTCAAGGTTTTTTAACATTTGAGTCAATGGGAGGGAAAACAGGACCAAAAATGTTCAAATTGGGAGGTGTTCAGATAAGCCAAGTGTTCAGATATACAGGTTTTACTGTACTACAATTGTTTCCAATCTTTTGGAGGAAAGTGTACATCATTCCAGAGAAATAACAGGTGACACACTACCATGGGAACTGGTCATTTCAGATGTTCCCACGCCTTACGTCCAGAAGAGGTCATTTCCCAGGATTATAGATGAACCCTTGGCCAAACACAAAAAAATGGATCTCATGCACTGCCCTGTCAACCCTCACGCATTAGGCATGATTGTCACGCATTTGCTAGAGAAAGAGAAATCACGCATCAATTTAGCGTGTATGATCAAATATCACGCAAATCACGCATTCTGTCGATATTTTTAAAAATCGTTTTTTGTGAAATGCCGAAACGGTAAAATATCGAACGGTGAAAAAAAGCGAATGCACTCTGTTCGGTCTTTGCACGCGATTGACGTTTATGTCACACTTTTTGTTCAAAATATGTGTATATATTACGCATTTGTTTCGAAAAAAAGTCTATATTTTACAAACTAACATAACTTCTTCGTAGATGTTCTTATTCATACCCACGAATCTATTTTGGGGATCATTCAATCATACTCCATAGTAGACGCAATTACAGGCCTGTCAACTGTCCCGCAATTTGCGTATTTGTCACGCATTTGCTGAAGAATTTGAAGTCATGTCAGTTTTTTTTGCGTGACAGAAAATGTCACGCAAATACACATTTTACCTGGTAATTGTCAAGCAAAAATATTTCTGTAGAAAAATTACTGAAAAAGTTTGGCGAAACAGCAATAATACCACGGGGTACCATCGAATAATTTTGGCAACGTACCGGAGAACGACATTTTACTAAGAAATGGCAATAATTTAGCACAATATATTTTTTAACTAGAGTTCTACTTTGATTTTGACAAAAGAAAGTATTCCATGCAATGGCTATTTACAACATTTAAGTATAGACTTTTGAAAAAAGTACAGAATAGTCCTTATACTATTGAATAATTCTGTTATTTCTGATTCACACGACTCTGATTTGTTTAATTAAAAACAAGTTTTAAAAATATTACTTGGGAACGTAACCGGAGCAGATCAGTTGCATTATATAATTTAAAAAAATAAAATATATGATTTAAAGCATATATATTATTTACAAACACATATGAATGTTAAAATGAGCATTTATTACCCTTCACTTACAGGAAAATCAATGCATGGCAAAACATATAAATTTTCTAAAGATATATTTTTTGCACTTATATTTTAGAGTATCAAAAAATTCACTGATAGTTATTGCACTCACTCAAACATCTTACGTTTATATGGAGGGGGGGGGGGTTAGGTGAAGAATTTCAGAAAGCATATGTTGATTCGATTTGGTCGAGCACATGACAAGTACTTAACACACCTACGCTATATACAGTTCGTTGTATCCTAACTTTTTTAATAATCTAGCATTTAAATGCTTTTATTTCCTCTGAAAAAGAGAAGTTGTCTTAGAAGTATAATACATGTATGTATAAACAGTATATATATACGAAATTAGTATAACAGAGTGGGTTCTAATAGTTCGCTGAACAAATACAATGGGTGAAATCAAATGGAATTATTTGCTTACTACATTTAATCACTTCATTCTCCATACAATGATTGTTCTAGGTTTGATAGCCTTTCTAAGGTAAGTGCACTTATGCATGGTAAATATCAAATTTAATTTTTCACAATGGATACATTTTTTTCTTTAAATAAAATGTATTAAATACGCATTCGAACAATCCCGTTGTTTTTAAATTAGCATATGTGCTTTAAATCATATATTTTAATTTTTTGATTAAATAATTCAACTGATCTGCTCCGGTTACGTTCCCAGCTCCGGTTACGTTCCTAAGTAATATTTTTAAAACTTTTTTTTTAATTAAACAAATCAGAGTCGTGTGAATCAGAAATAACAGAATTATTCAAAAGTATAAGGACTATTCTGTACTTTTTTCAAAAGTCTATACTTAAATGTTGTGAATAGTTATAATCGAAAAACCATCTTTCGGAGTAAAGTCCGTCTGCGCCGATTTCAATAACTTCGTACTTGATCAGAACTGGATTCCAACAGAATTCCTACAAACTCATGAATGAAATAGTTATTGCATGGAATACTTACTTTTGTCAAAATCAAAATAGAACTCTAGTTAAAAAATATATTGTGCTAAATTATTGCCATTTTTTAGTAAAATGTCGTTCTCCGGTACGTTGCCAAAATTATTCGATGGTACCCCGTGAATACGAATGCCGAAAAAAACGTACGCATTTCGTTCAGACTTTTCACGCGAATCACGTATATGTCACGCATTCCGTTCAAAAATAGAAATCATGCATAAATTTAGCGTGTATGATCAAATGTCACGCAAATCACGCATTATGTTGATATTTTTGGAAATCGTTTTTTACAAAATGGCGATAGAGTAAAAATCCGTACTGCAAAAAGCGAACACATTCCGTTTGGTCTTTGCACGCGATTGCCGTTAATGTCACGCATTTGGTCCGAAATATGTGTATATATCGCACATTCGTTTCGAACATATTCACACAAGTCACTCATGTTAGATGGTTGACAGCCCTGCATAAATGATCGTAAATGTAGAAAGCAGAGTTAACGATGCTATGGAGAAGGGACAATATAACAACATGGACGTGTCTTATAATCACCAGGTTAACTATTGGGAATTGTACAATTAACGTTTTAGACATGTTAAAATTAATGACTTTTTTTTCTTTTCTTTTTTTTTGATAAAATTTATTTCAGTTTAACATAATTATTTACAGGTATGGTACAAAGATGAGGTTTCAAATTCATAAAGAGTATTTAAGTTACTCACACATTTTTCAATATACCATTTGTGAATAGATAACTTTGCTATCAGTATATTTTTGTAATTCTTTACTTTACCTATTCCATATATTTGATTGGCAGTTATATTTGGGAAATGTTTAGTCCAAAATTCAGCAACTGCTTTGCATTTAACAAAATGATGCTCTAAATTATCTATTTCATCACAGCTTGTACATTTGCTTGAATTTAAAATACCATATCTATGCAGTAAAAGATTACATGGATATAGCACTATGCCATAGCACTCATTCTCAGCTAATGGCAATTGAACATTTTTTACTTACCAATTTTGACCAAGGCAAAGCCTCTAGAACCATTTTTCTTGACATTGCAGCTGCTTTTGACCGTGTTCCGCATAACTTACTTCTACACAAACTAAGGGCCTACGGTATTCATGGACAACTTCTAAATTTATTAAAATCATATCTGACAAATAGGCGGTTTTTTGTAAACATTGCTGGTGAGTCATCAGTAACAACTGAAGCAGGCTTCCTAAACTGTGGCGTGCCACAGGGATCAATTTTAGGCCCACTTCTATTTATTTTATACATTAATGACCTTCCTGATAATGTAAACTCCAAATGCTATATCTATGCAGATGACACATCTCTTCATTTTATTTTTGACCCCAAAAAGCCCCAAGAAATTGATGAACTAGTTAAATCTGATCTAACTGAGATAAAAAATTGGTCCAAATTGTGGAAATTACAATTTAAACCAGAAAAGAGCTGTGAAGTTATTTTCCATGGAGTTAGAGCAAATCCTGAAAATGTAAGCAAATCCTTTCTAAGTGACTCTGAAATTGAAAGAACAAATGTACATAAACACCTTGGATATACTTTTGATCATAATCTGACCAATCAAAACCATATTGAAGAAATATATAATAAAGTTAGGAAAATGATTAATCCCCTGAAGAACCTTAAAACAAAGTTAAACTCAAGAGATCTGGAAACGCTTTTCAACTCATTTATAAGACCTCATTTTGATTATGGTACTGCTATTTTTAACACTGCATCAAAATATCTTCTAAATAGACTTGATCAAATTTATTATCAGGCTGCTCTTTTGTGCTCTGGTTGTCTTCATGGCAGTAATACTGATAAAGTTTTGAATCTCCTTCAATGGCCTTCTCTAGACACAAGAAGAAAAATGCAAATTAACAACTTTATGTTTAAAGTTGTAAATGGTTCAAATCCACTCTTTTTAGATGAAATTTTTGATAAA